TGGCATGCACACCTTTGATGTGAAGGGAGCTGGTACTCGAGACCATTATCTTGCTCCAGGATGGTGAATGTGTCCTGGTAATCTGCTTTTGGCTATTCAGAAGAATCTTGATCTGACTCTGCTTCCTCAGGCTGCATTTGTTTACCAAACACAAAGAATGCTTTCATGAAGTTTGAGCCACTGTTGTGGTTTTTACAACTTTCCCCCTAATTTTGTATTGGCAATGAATGCTATCCAGGGCACCAGCAAGGACATCAAAGATGTGGGACCCTTTCAGCCTCTGGCAAGCAAGTGCAGAAGATCTCCTCTCCAAGATTTCCTCAACTATCCAATGAGCTGTGACTCCTATCAAACTTTGCTGGTGAGCTGTTCAACAATATGTAGTAGCAACATAGCAATTGAGGTGCAACATCAAAGTTTTTTTCATCTGATTGGCAGCTTCCTCTATTCTGGTCCTGAGAGTGGGTCTGGAAATAACTTTGCATTGAGGGTTCAGTGTCAATAAAAATTCTTTGAAAGAGGGTTGCTCAACCACAGAAAATGGATGAAGGCCTTCACAAATGAAGTTAATCAGGAGCTTGTCAACCTTTTCTTGTGGTAATCGTCTGTTTGCACCCACTGTCATCATTTCACAGATTTAAACAATAGGGGACTCAGAACACATCCTTGTGGAGACCCGGTGCTGAGTGTGATGGTGTTGGACAGGTGGGGGCCGAGTCTGACAGACTGTGGTCTGTTTGTCAGGAAGTCCTTAATCCAGAGGCAAATGGCGGTAGAAAGTCCCAAGTGAGACAGTTTCTGGACCAGGATCTCTGGGATGATGTAATTGAATGCTGAGCTGAAGTCCAGGAAGAGCATTCTCACGTAGCTTCCTCGGTGCTCCAGGTGACTCAGCGCAGTGTGGAGCGCTATTGTGATAGCGTCCTCGGTGGAACGGTTTGCGTATGCAAATTGATGGGAGTCCAGAGTGGGAGGCAGACAGGTTCTGATGTACTGACAAATCAGTCTCTCAAAGCACTTCATCACTACAGGCGTGAGTGCAATAGGCCTGTAGTCATTTGGGCTGTCCACCACTGTCTTCTTGGTGACTGGGATGATGGTAGAGGTTTTTAGGCAGGGTGGGATGTTTTACGACAGAGAAAGGTTGAAGATTCTAGCGAAGACTCCGGACAGTTGATCAGCACAAGCTCTTAGAACCTTTCTACGTATTCCATGAGGACCTGCCGCCTTCCTCGGATTTACCGACCTCAGAACACTCCTCACTTGATGCTCCTGAAATGTCAGTATACCAGTGCTGGGACCGGGTGGAAGTGGTGTAACAGTTAAGGGCCTGATTTTCTCAAAGCGGGCGAAAAAGCAGCTTAAATCCTCAGCCAGCGAGGCGCCAGTCCTAGATGTCGCCTGGTTCTTGCTTCTGTAGTTTGTAATGTGATTAATCCCCTGCCACATCTTTCTGGGGTCGTTGTCAGCAAAGTGATTTTCAATCTTCCTCCTGTAGGTAGCCATGGCTTCCCTGATGCCTCTGTTCAGCTCCGCCCTGGCCGCCCTATACGCTGCCCAGTCCCCTGACTTGAAGGCGGTGTTGCGGCTTTTTAGGAAGGATTGCACTTCGCCGTTCATCCACGGTTTTTGATTTGGAAACATCCTGACCCTTTTGTAGACGGTGGCATTGTCAACACAGTTTCTGATGTAGGAGAGTACAGTATCCGTGTACTCCTGGAGGTTGTGGCTGGAGAATAAATCCCATACAGTTGTAGCGAAGCAGTCCTGTAGTTGAGTCAGGGCTCGTTCAGGCCAGGTTTTTATTGTCTTTGTCTGGGGCTTTGTTTTCCTCAGCAGGGGGTGTAGGTGGGAGTGAGGGACATGCAGAGGTGGTCAGATCCAGCCAGGTGAGGTAGGGGTGTTACTCTGTAAGCATGTCTGATGTTTGAGTAAACACGGTCCAGAGTGTTTTCCCCTCTAGTAGCAAAGTCCACAAACTGGGCAAATTTAGGAAGCACAGTCTTTAGGCGCGCTTTATTGAAATCACCGGCAACAATAAAAACCCCATCGGGGTGGGCGAGCTGTCGTTTATTGATGGTGGTGAGCAAGAGGCTGAGAGCCGTGCCAACGTTAGCATCCGGTGGTATAAAAACAGCTAGCACTATCACCACAGTAAACTCCCTCGGGATATAAAAAGGTCTGCACGAGACTGCCAGAACCTCTAAATCAGGAGAACAGTGTGTGTGGATGATCCTGCTGTTGCAACACCATTCGTTGTGAACATAAACACAGAACCCCCCTCCTTTGCTTTTACCTGAGTCGCTGTTTCGGTCCTGCCAGTGTAGTGTGCAGCCTGCTAGCTTGACTGCAGCGTCGGGGATCAGCGGGTGCAGCCACGACTCCGTGATAAGAATAATGCTGCTGTTCCGTGCAAAGCCCGTGGTGGCTATCTGTAGCTCCAGTTCATCCACTTTATGGCTGATGGATCTGGCGTTAGACAGGAAAAGGCTTGGGAGTGCTGGCCGGTGAGGTTGTTTACATAGCCTAGCATCCGAGCCCGATCGGCAACCCCTCTTCTGTTTTCTCTCCCTCCGATGCCTCCTGGGCGGGCATACCATCCACGGAGACCCCGGCGGTCTCGTTATGTCCTCCGGGATGTTGTGTGTGCGCTGGTATTTGCCAGAAACAGGCAACCTGAGGCTGAAACCAACGTTGATTATGTTCTGTTGGCTGTGATAGATGTTGGTGTTGCAGACATTTAGAAATAGACACAGTAAAGATAATAAAAACAAGCACCAAACTGGAGAGCTAAGAGCCGCTGCACTCGTGCGTGCCACCATCTTGCTAGCTGTGTCAAATATTATTGGAAGTATAGAATATGTTTTATGTTTTATTATTTTCTGCATCAAACAGAACTTAATTCATTCTCCAAACACTTCAGAAATGAACCACTGGGTTCAAATGAAATAACAAACTGTCAAACATTTTTTAATGTTATTTCTGACAGACTTGAACTGTGGCATAAACATCTGACTCTAAAGCTGCTCACAGATGTTAAACACTCATTTATAAATATAGTCATTATAGCTGCAAAAATTACAGGGAACGATCTTTAGAAGCTGGTAAAAGTGATTATTTAGCTAAAGCCTGATTCATGCTTCTCCGTCTGCGTCAGTGCGGAGACACGCAACGTCCTTGCGGGCCTGCTGGAGAGCTCCGCAAGGACGGATGAAGTCGAGCTCTCTTTTCTAAATATCCGTTAGTCGAGATGGACAACGCAAGCTTGTGATTGGTCAGGACGCCACTGTCGTCTACACCGCCGCCATTGCGCCCTCAAAAACATAAAGAGAGCCGAGGATAACTAGCGGCAGACACGGAGCAACTTGAAGAAAACCTCACGAAAAAACTCTAAAAACATGAATGTTTAATTCCCTGTGACTGGAGGAGTGAAAAGATACCCAGCAAGCGTTTTATTCGTGGACGGAAATGACAAGAAACGTGGGTTTAGAGGTGGTGAGCGCATGAAGAGGTGGAGGAGGATGAGAGACAAATTGGTCTGTGTTAAAAAGTCTCTTATATACAAAAAACACAATATAAACACACTATCTTGGACCGATACATGACAGGATACCACAGAACAGCGCTACACCCTCTGCTGTCCTGGCGGGGAATTGCTTTGCAACACTCCCCAGGAGATGGAGAAGTATGAGAGCAAAACGCTTCCGTGTCTCTCCCTTGCGAAGCTGACAGAGAAGCATGAACCAGGCTTTACTCACCTCAGATTGGGCCCAAAATCTCCATTTTTGGAGAAGCACCAGTTGGCAGGATCTGGCTAATTACTGGAAGGCTTCGACTAATTTGTGAAACACTCTTCAAACCAGCACAGCCTGGTTCAAACTCCAACAAATTGGTGAAAGAGTCACATGTTAGAAACACCAAACTACAACATCTAACAGCCAAGCTACTAAAACTAAATAATTATAATACTAGAAGCACTGCTGGGACTATGACTCAATGTTAATGCCGAACAACACCTAAGCTACAGCATAAACACTCATTTGCGGCTAATCCAAGTCCAAACTGCTACAAGGCGTGGCTGAGACCACGATGCTTTATAACCTACAGCCACAGACTGGGACACCTTACATGGGGCTTGGTTACGTTGCATGGGATGTTTCATCCATTATTCGAGACAAGATTTCAAACTGTTGTTGTAAATTTGTGTAGAATATCTTTGAGCTGAAGAGGGCGCTACACTGAAGTTTTTTGGCTGAATTTTGAGTTTTTAAAGAAAATGCACCAAAATGCAAAAATAACGACTACACATGTCTACAACACTATTAGACAATTATCTATACAATTTATCAGCAAAAAAAAAAGTTAATTTTGGTGTGACTTGCTCTTTTAAGTTTTGTTAACAAGCCACTCCTAAACGTATCTGTTCTCCAAAGTCCCTGTGCAGTTTCTGGTGATCTGACCTCCAGCTCTAACGAAGAGGAGCTCTTGGAGCGCTGCAACACTCCAGTTTGTTGTTCAGCAGATTTTGTTCAAAAGCAAAACTTACGGTCCATGTTTACTTTCATTTTCAATATATTTGCAATATTATAGCTTGGCATTAACTCCCCACGTCATCATGACATCTCCCTCTGTTGCGACAAGGCTCAATCGCGTCTATAATGCAGAATATTACTAAAAGCAAGGCGGAACGAATGCTGCAAAATTTGTTCAGTGCCATGCTGACATGGTGCATTTATAAAACACACTCTTGTGGTAATATTACGCCGATTTGCCAGTACGGTGTGTCTTGTAAAAAGGGCTTATGAGAGGTATTCAGGGTTAAAATTCCTTTGATACTTTATGTATGACAAAGTTGAAACTTGAACCTTGCCATTAAAAACAGTTGGGTTATTCCTACAGTTATTGATTCCATCTTCACTGTACAGGTTTAAGGTGCAGGAACTGGTGAGTTTACTAGAGACGGAACTCTGGGGCTGAAGTCTTTTCCCCTTGTGTTGCAGGTGAGGAGTGTTTGACACTGGCTCTGAGGGGTCGCTGTCAAAACCAAATGAAGCATCGCCATTTGAGTCCTGGGAGATTATTTGGTACAAACCGGTTTGCAGGAAGAATGCTACGTGGTGAGATTGGTGGCCGCCTGCTAGATCGAGCCATGAAAGGGTTCTGTGAAGACCACTTCCTACCGCTGGTGGTCACAGTTGGAGACAGCAGCCACACTCAGAGACTTGGCTGTTTTGGTGGGTTTCTTAGCATCTGTTTTTCGAGACACAACAGCAAACTGGAAACAGACTTACAGGCAAAGCATTACCCTGGTTCTTGTGTCATTGGTGGGTTATAAGTTATCCTTTTTGTTCTTTGGACAGCCTTTTATTCTTTTTTTTTCCTGTTTTGAATTTGATTCGCTGCTATGACACTAAAATCTCCTCACTGAGGGACAATAATGGGATTTCTATTTACTCTTTTCTGTATAGTATAGGTAGATAAATAAAACATTTCCCAGGTTTATTTCTTACTGGCACACACATTTTACATGTACACATTTTTTAAACGTTTAATCCTTTATCCTCTTAGGGCTCACTCTGAAAAAGGGCTGTTTCAGATTAGGAAAACACATTTTCAACCAAAACCGATTATCATCCCATTAGTTTGTAATTAAAGAATTCTGACCAGAGATTAACATGTTGTTATTCTGAAAATCAAAACCGTGGAGAAGATGAATTTCAGCACCACCAATTGCAGGTGGAGATTAATACTGAAAATAAGTTATATAAAACGTTTCCTTGTGAACAGCATCCTTGCTGCTTGGTGAGAACACCTCTGAGGAAACATCATGTTAAAACACAGAAAATCCAAAAAGCCCTAAACCCAGAGTTGTGCCACAGTGTGTGGATTAGAAATTGTGCGTGTGTGTGTTTGGGGGGGTGAACCCGCCTTTTATGACAGATGTGCTATGATGTGAGGACATGCCTGAGGAGTCATCTCACCTGTGTCTTTGCTCTGAGCTCTTCCTCCTCTGACAGACCATGCAGAGTTTGCCAGGTGTCCCGAGACGGTTTCCATGAGCTTCCCCAGTCTGCCCATCTCAAGCTGTGAACTGAATAAAAACACCAGACGCTGCCACCAACAGCCATTGGCCACCCACCTGTCCTGTCGCCTTTACCAAACATGTGACCACGCTGTGCTTATCTCAGGTTAGAACTTCTTATGGCAATACTTTGGCCGCCATCTTGATATAATTGTATGCCAGGTTTAGATAAAAAAAACATTTAAAAAAAAATCTAAATCCTGAATTTATGTTCACATTCAGATGTGTAAATAATTAAATAAACTTGAGCAAATGTATCAAATTTAAATAGCATATAATTAAAGGCATTCATTTACTGAAGTAAACTGTAGAAGTTTTCTGATGTAACTTCAGAAACTTGTGATGTGCAATAATAATCTTTTCTGCACCTGTCTCTGTTTGGATTCATTTCCAACACAAATAACATATTTTATTGGAAAATGAAATAAATGCATTATTATTTTATTAAACATAAAACTGTTTATGTCAGGTGATGGTTCTGCGTGAATCGTTTGTTGGGCCAGGCCGTTCTATGTCACAGAAGTACCAGAGGGAAACTTGTGTTATAGAATGTTATAACTTAGTTCTCTGAAATGTTGGAAGCATGATTCTGTGTGTGTGTGTGTGTGTGTGTGTGTGTGTGTGTGTGTGTGTGTGTGCACGCACGCAGGTGGTTGGCAGCCTCAGATGACATTCCAGTATCATGCTCTAAATCTTCAGAAATTCTATAAAATGCTCCGAAACAACGGCTTTCCTAAAGATCACATCAAGACTTTCTTTGCCAACAGAGGACATCTTCCTGGTAGGAATTCAACACTCAGACAAGCATGTACAACAAGCAGAATGCAAAAAACCTAATTCAGTTTTCTTTATTTGCAATACTGGAAACTGTGTTAACTGGACGACAAGTCAGAAATATTTTGTTGTCGATTTTTTTTAACTGTTGTCACTTTATTTTGTAACTTTTGATCAATAATGATATCAGCTTCAAAAAATTGCTAATCCTTTGATATTTTGATGCATGATAAGTATTAAAATTGAGCTGTTGTTAATAAAGTAATTAAAAATGTTTTTACTTTATTTTAACACACTTTATTTTAATTTGCTACAAATTAGTTACAGCTACGGTGGGGCGACGGTGGCACAGGAGTTAACTGCTCGCCCCATAATTGGAAGGTTGCAGGTTCGAGTCCCGCTCAGTCTGTCGCTGTCAATGTGTCCTTGGGCAAGACATTTAACCCACATTGCCTGCTGGTGGTGGTCGGAGGGACCGGTGGCGCCAGTGCTCGGCAGCCTCGCCTCTGTCAGTGTGCCCCACGGCAGCTGTGGCTACATTGTAGCTCATCCCCACCAGTGTGTGAATGTGTGTGTGTGAATGGGTGAATGACCAATTGTGTTGTAAAGCACCTTGAGGGGTTCCAGGACTCTAGAAGGCGCTATATCAATTACAGGCCATTTACCATTTAAGAAAATCTGAGGAAATTCCTGTTCAATTGTGTCACTATATTAGCTGACTGGTGAGTTTTTTCCTTGGTAGGTAGAAGCACATTAACTGTAACCATTTAATTCCAAAAGGGGCTATGATGATGTCAACAAAAGTTGGGTTCTGTAATGTAGTTTTCACTGTTGGTGTTTGCACTTATGGCTGCCTGCAGTTTGAGATTCCTTTGGTCCATTTCCTCTATTTTTCCATGGTGAATCTCCCTGGCTCACACTGAACAAGAAGCAGAGCCTAGAGCCTTGCGTGAATTTTTTTTTTTAATCTTGTTCCCACCCACTCCTGTCTCTCCAAACACAGGCCAACAAAAAATAAGGGTTGTACAAGTTTTTGATGGGTCCAAAAATTGTCAACAAAATACAAAAGCCAAAACACAACACAACATAATGCAACAAAAGCCACAACATATGTCTTGATGAAACGGAAAGTATCCCTACATGAAATCCAGTGGTGGTGTGGTAAGCACCACATTGTAGATGAAGAAAAGAAAGAACAATTAACCATGATCAGAGAAAATTTTGACTGGAAAAGTAAGTAAAACATTGATATTGTTCAGTAAATGTTGATGTGCACATTTTAAAAGATGAATACTTTTATTGTGCTGAGTTAAAGGGATTATCCAGGGATAATATGGCGCTTGGTATTGTTGGTTTTTGGTTCGTGATTCGGTCCGAGGCTGGCTGCAGCTCGGTTGGAACTGGTCTGGCCCGAACCTTCCAGGTTCTTTCCTCACAGGAGAGATGCTTGGGCACTTTCGAGCAATTCCAACTTTAAAGTTAAAGTCCCATTAGTTGTCACACACACTGATGTGTGTGCGAAATTTGTTCTCCACATTTGACCCATCCCCTGGGGGAGCGGTGAGCTGCAGACACAGCCGCGCTCGGGAACCATTTGGTGGTTTAACCCCCCAATCCAACCCCTTAATGCTGAGTGTCAAGCAGGGAGGCATTGGGTCCCATTTTTTTTTCTAAGTCTTTGGTATGACCCGATCAGGAATTGAACCCTGATCTCCCAGTCTCAGGGCGGACCCTCTTCCACCAGGCCAACTTCAACTTTGGCAACTCCCTAACAATTAACACAGCAATACTTCAAGAAAAATGATGAGGCTGTAATTCAATTTCATTTTGGTTTACATACAAAAAATCTGAGAAAATAGCACAAGAACAAATACAGGACCCGGACCTTTTTAGATGGTCTCTAATAAACTGTCTCAGGGTCTGCTGGCATCATCTTATATAGCTGTGATAATGTGTAGTTTTTGCAGTGCTTCAAATGTTGTTGAAAATGAATAAAATGATGTCGTCATTGAAAAATATTGGTGGCATTGTAACATTCAGCTTGAAGGGGTTGGATTGGTAGCCTGGCCTGCCACACTCATCCTTAGTTTAATTCTACACAGAGAAAGAGTCTGGTTACTCACAGGCAGAGAGGCACATGAGGGGTGGGGCTAGCCTGAACAAAAATAACCAATCAAAAAAAGGCGGAAATACCGACTGTACCACACAGTGCTGTAGTTTTTTAGCTCTAGTCAAAAATGGCATATGGCGAAGGCGCAAACATCTTTCTTTAGAAGAATGGCTTTTAGCGCTTCTTGTTGTGTTTTTAAAGACATTTCCAAAATAAAAATTAAACAGGCCAACTGATGTCCACAGATGTGAAACCAACATAAATTATTGCAGTTAACCAAGGCTAATCGCAAAACAGAAAACTAGCAAATGGTGTTTCCATCTAGATAGTCATTCATCAAAAAGCAAATATGTGTCATTTTTACTTGTTCTCCTCTTTACACAGCTGATATAGAGGGTGTGTATTCAGCAACGGAGAAGGCAGTGATCCGCAGCCATGTGTCCTATATCTGTCGTAAGCAGCACTGTGCTGACACGCTGGTCCTGTACCTTAACTCACCAACATGCAGTGACGGGACAATGCTGCTGTGGGACACCAACCTGAACGGCATTGTGAGCTAGACACACACACATATGCACACACACAAATGCATGTTGTGTACAAGGGCGCCTCCAAGGGGTGGCCAGGAGAGGCCATGACAACCCCAGAAAAGTGCTGACACCCCCCCCCCCCCCCCAGGAAAAGTCAGTTTTAATAAATAATATTGATGTTCAGTCAAACCAAATATTGATCTTGTTTATTCAAGACATAATTGTAAAACAAAATGAAAATAGTACAATTAATAAGTAAAGAAATAATCAGAATAAATAAATACATATGTTTTCCGCTGCTCACCATTTTAAAAAAGTTTTTATCTCCTTATCTTTTTTTCGTAAACACAGCAACAGGCGAGTTAACCTAAAAATAAAATTGTAAATTAAATTTGGAATAAAATTTAAATAATTGAAATGTACTTTTCTGAAATGTTTGTGTTTGTAAAATTTAAGTTAAATGTTTGGATATGTACTGCTTTTTTAATAAATATGAATAAAGGAGCAATGCAGCACATTGCCACAGGTTAAACTCTCCCAGAGTTACCACAAGGTTCAATTTACTGTGCCACCACAAAAATTTGTTTGACCCCATCTGGCCACCCCTATCAAATTTTTCTGGAGGCGCCCCGGTTCTGTAGAAAAACACATTTTAATGCATTTTTTGTCCAAAATAAAATGCTAAACCAACATCAGCTGCTTCACAACCTAAAGTGGACCTGGCCACCAGACTGGACGAGACCCTGGAGCAGGGCCGTGCAGAGACCTTTGAAGAGGCGGGTGCTCAAAGTTAAAAAAGGGGCACATATGGAGCAAAATTTTTAAACATATTCACGATCCAACAAGTTTGAAAATTCAGACAATGAGACCCTTGGGTTCAAACAACATAATGAACTAGGAAAAATATTTCATATAGTGTCATTAATTGAAGGTAATGTTAGTTCATAAATAATTGTTTTAGTTTTTAAAGCTGACGTATATCTAGAGATGTTACAAACACATCTCTGGCCCTGATCTGAATCCAAGTTTGATTTTTAATTATCTTCCAATACTGAGTCCTGTTCTGATACCAGGTGGTAATGCCATGCATTACAAAAGAAGAAAAAAATGGAGATGTAGAGTTAGGTTTGGGTGCTTTTTAAGCTCAATATACTACACTACATTTGACCAATAAGATGTGAATTTCTATATAAATATGGAAATCCAATCTGATTGATCTTTGAACGTTTAACCAGAAGAATTAGAATTCTTTGTTCATTCAGGGATCGTAACACACTTCGTATTAATTCAGACAGAGTCAAGTCTGAGTGGGAGTGAATTTGGTCTGCTATAAACTATAAGTGATGGAGCCTGAATCTCAGCCAAAGTTCCAAGCTTACGACTCATCTCAACAATTATATGAGTTTGTGTGTTTACAGCGCGATGCATTCCATCCCTGAGCTCCGGGATTGAGCCAATATTCCTCGAAAGCTTGTTAATTTTCCGGTAAGCCAGGTAACCGCTCAGGCCAAACAGCAGGAATCCTGCCACCAAAACTACGAATATCCAAACATCTTCAGAATCCTCTGCAGACGGTTGAGAGAGGAAGATCATGTTCCATTGTTTCCAGGAGTCCATGATATACCCAGCTGGATCTGTCCCAGAGGGGTATCCAGGAGACCCTTCTCCCGTTCTCATCGTTGAAAAAATTTTGTCAATTGCGTTGAGAGACCAACTGACCAGATCCATTTTGAATTTCCAGTTTCTAGAAAAAATGCAGAAAGTGCCGTGCACACAAAGACAGGACAAAGAGCCTTAGGATGAGGAGGGAGTGAGAGGAGAAATAAAAAAGCGTCTGTACTCTCCAAGAGCCGGAAGAAAGCTGCAGCTGCATTCTGCTCACGGCCACAGTAACATTTTCTAAGTTTCTAAGTGGCGTCACCAAAAAATATATAATTAACACACAGTCATTTGTGTCCGCTCATTTTCTCTCTGGTAAGTTCTGTCTGTGTTTGAGCATGACGTGTGGACGCGCCCGCGCTGCAGCGCTCGTCACTGGCTCAGCCGGGCAGCGCGGCGCACACTCCGCTTTTTTAGCGGTCAATAGATCAATTTGATCTGCTAGTTAAAAAGTTACTTGTGAGGTGAAAAAGAAGGAAGCAGGCAGGAGTTTTTCTGGAGGACTGGGAGATGCAGGAAGATCAGAGACACAGGACAGGAAAACAGGAAAATAAAAACCAAGAAAACAAAATAAAGTTCTTAAAAAATAAAATGTAGGTAGATTGATCCCACTACACGTTTGTACCTGTATAAAGCAGTAACTTATCAGCATGTAGTATTTATATAGTTGATACGATTCAGATCATCTTCAAAACTCTGTCCCATGCCCAGGGGCGTATCTAAGAATATTGGGGGCCGAGGCAAAATAGACCCCCTGCCAGGTATTTTAAGTTGAAGTGCCATCTGTTTTTATATTAGACTTTTTATATTTGCAATAAAGTCCAAAAGTGAAGAATTTGTTATTTAGTAGTTTATTGTTCAAGCTACCTCACAGAAGTGATCTGTTGTTAAAAATTAAAATAAAAAGGTAATTAAATAAAAAATAAGAAACATTCTGGAACAGTTTCTTCCTTTTCTTTCTTTTTTTTATGTATGGAAAGTATCGGATCGGGACTCGGTATCTGCAGATTCTCAAAATCAAATGGCTCGGACTCGAGGGCAAAAAAACCTGATCGGGACATCCCTAGTAGATAGATTGCAAAGGGGGTTATGGGATAGAGAAGGTGTCGAGATTGGTGCTGAAAAAGTAAAAGACTTTTATCTGGAGAGGAAACCTACACAGTTCACAAACCTGCAAGGGTAAAATTTCCAAGGAACCGGGTTTTTGTTTCCGGATCCCTGAAGCAGTTCCAGGCGGACTTATGCGACATGCCTTTTAAAATATTAACACAGTTGTGTTACAGAGTGACTGTCCCAGTAAAAATTACTATACAACTGCAAACATCAACCCAAGATGGGTCAGAGAAGATGAAGAAGACTTCTATGAACCAATGCAATCATGGAGATGACTATTGCAGATGCTTTTTTTCTCCCCTTACAGCTCAGTTGTAGCATTTCCCCTCATTTGCTATCTCCCCGGCCATGCTCCGGTGATTTTCCTCTAGAGCTGAAACAACTAATCGATTTAATCGATTATAATCGATTATTAAAATAGTTAACAACTTTTTTAGTCATCGATTAGTTGTTTAATACTCATATTTTACCGCATAAAGTCTATTTTTTACCACAATCTGACATCGGTTACAATCTGTTAAATTTGCCGCCAGTGTGTGGCAGTAATAAGCCACTGATCTACCAGTGGGGCCGTAGAAGAAGAAATTAGCCAATAAGTGCCCTCGGTTTTCATGACGTATCACGTTACTGACGCGCATCTTGCTGTGAGAGATGGCGGATCAACAACAAATACGGAAGAAAAATAGAAGCGACAAAACAAGAGAAACCCCGGACAAAAACCTCACGAGTATGGGAGCACTTCACTAGATGCCTTGAAAAGACCGGTGACCTACAAAATATGCAAAAACCATGGCACGACGGAAGCATGACGTCCCTAAGTGAACATTTGAGATGAAAACATGGGGGCTGATGCAGCAGAGGAAAGTCCGGTAAGTAACAGAAAATAAACAAGCTAACGCAGATCACATTTGGGACTTAGTGTTAGCTGAGTTCGTTATAGTGGATGTTAAACATGTTTTTTTTTTTGGTTTTTTTTGCCGCGTCAGTTTACGGTGTTCTACTTCTGATTGACTAGATGCAATCGTGAATCTCCTCCGTGTTGTGGCGCTTGCCAAATTTAGCACGTCTGTTTATAAGAATGTTCTCGTTAAGAGAAAAACGGCACAAACCCATAACTGTGTTCCTCATTCAAAAAAGGACAACTCCGCGGAGAAAAATATACAGACGAGCTGTGTCCAGGTGAATATAACGGGGCATAGTTGTACGCTTTCAATTTTTAAATACAGGAGAAATTCAGAAAGTCCTTTTTTTTAACTATTAAAAGGCTGTTTTACTATCTAACGCTGTAAAACGCCTCACAACACATTTTTGTCAAAATAAATGATCACTGTATATTGTTAATTAATTCAAATAATGTAATATTGATTTAGTGTTGTAGTGTGTGTGCTGCTTTATTTTATATGTGTACTTAATTCAGTTTATTTGTTTCTTATGCAGAAAAAAACAAGCAACGATGGACAACTACATGGGGAACAAGACACTCACCCCCCAGCAATGCATACCACTTACAAACTCTATTCTAGATTCTACATTATTTTTTATGGAATTTACCTCTTATATTTTGATGCCAAAAAATTATTCTGGACTGATATTTTGCACTGTTTAGCTCATTTTACACTGCTGACTGTGGTCATGTGCAATAAAATAGATTGCAGTCAACTGCACAATTCTCTTATGTTTTTCTTTTTCTTAACTGAAATGTATTCATCACTTGTATAGGTTAAATAGCTAAACAATAACAAACCGATTAATCGATTAATCGAAAAAAATAATCGACAGATTAATCGATTATGAAAATAATCGTTAGTTGCAGCCCTATTTTCCTCATAACTCCCCCTCCACCTGCGACCACTGAGACCGGAGAGACTGTTTGCTTTGGACTTGTAAACCCTTAGATTACTGTAGAAACTGTAAAGCACATTGACATTAAAAATGTCTATTGTTAAGATACTTTAGAGAAACATTCCTGCTGCCAACCACATTAACTTCCTCCTTCTGAATTCAAGGCTGACAAGCATGTGGCGTCACGACAGGGTCGCAGATAGGATTTTCAAACTGAGGGGAACAAAATTCCAATGTATCCTCCCCCAAACACATACACATAAGCATGTACGTACACATACACAAACAATTGCACAAGCCTCATCTAGAGCTCAGTTTGTGTAATTTGATCCAATGGTTTACAAAAAACTAACACTATTATATATGTGTTTTGAAGCCATATGCAATGGAACGCTGGCAACAAAGCTCTGCCTGATCAACACTATCCAAATTAGTCATGTGTTATTCTCCCAATCAATTACTAACACAAACCTTAACCTGACTCGGGACCCAGGGTCGACCCAGCCCTGCTGGGGACCCAACAGAAGCCAGGGACTCAGATCCCACCAGGCAGCCAACAGGATCAATCAGACAGACGCCCAAAATCTTAAACTCCCTGAAATGGGAGCCGTGAACACTCAGGCAGACCGAGGTACCACACTCCGCACCAAATGTAGCAGGGGAAGGGCAGGCGAAGATTTGTAGCAGCACTAGAAGCCCCAGGAGAGGGGAGGAGTCCAATACCCCACCTGACATATACAGCCATATACAGACACAGTCACACACTCCCTCCCTCATGCTCACACATATACATACAACCTAAGACTTACAAAAATTAACGCTAGACACACACTCATGCTCCCCATACACACCCTATTTACTCTGGTCCTGGTACTGCTACACAAAGCGTACAACCATCACTGGTTCCCAGAGTTAGCCCCTTTCTGCTGGGGTGATGATGAGCAGGCTCCCCCGCCCAACGCAGAGCAACGCAATCTACCACCCCAGTCCCTAACCAGATGGCCAGCTCCCCCTCCTAGCCTCCAGCCACGGGGAGCCAAACAACAACAGAGATGTGCTAAGGCCCCTAGTCTCCCTCCGCCTGCTCCAATACAGTGTTAGTGCGTTTTGATGAGGTGTATTCCATGGCCGGGGTGAGCGGGCAGTGAGTGCAGGCATCGTCTGACCCACGCAAGCTGATGCCACCACACCACCCCACTTCCCCCCAAATTGACCTGATTTATTACTATGTTCAAAGTTTTCTATTCATAGTCATTGTGCTAAAAAGTGTGTCTTTTTGTCAATAATTCTATGAAGTTCTAATTTAGCTTTACATAATTTGCTCAGTAACTTTTCTTCTGTGGATGCCTCTAAAGACTTAAAGAGCAAGTCAGCCCCTACCAGAGTCTAACTCCACTCTCACTTCATGTTTAAAAAATGCAACAAATGCTGTTGCCTGGCAGACCGAGAGGGCGGAGCCGCTAACAAATACACACACACAGGTTCACCACAGCATTGTGACATCATAATGTACCAGTTTACATCATAGCATACCTCTTAGCCAATAGCGGTGGTAGATTTAAATTCAAATGCAATGCAGAGTTTTACCTGACAACGGCACAACACTGCTAGTTTTAGGCAGAAAATTAAAATTTTACCTAAAATGCACTAAAGTGCAAAACTATTGACTACACGTGTCTGCAGCACGATTAGACACTCGTTTATTTAGTTTATCAGGGGAAAAAAGTTGATTTGGGGGTGACTTGCTCTTAAATGATTTCCTCTAACTCCTGAATATGTTTGTTTTCTGTTTTTTTTTTCTTATGTGATGAGAAAAAGATGATTTTACCTCTCATCACTGCCTTTCCTGCCTCTCAGAGAACAGATGCTGATGTTCCGTGCAGGTCATTATGTTCTAAATATAAAGCCCACTCTTTAAAAAAAAAATCCTACAAAGACTTCGTGCTCCAGCACATTCCTGATTTTGGCAAACTAACAAACTCGTTATCATGCGTGCTCGTTACCACAATAATAACAGAGTTACAATGCGTTACTTAACCCTTTTCAGCACCAGAGTTTTTCCAAGAAAATATAAAATTTTGACATGACTATTTCAAAAGGTTGTAGCTTGGAAATGTTTAGAGATAAAGTTAAACTATAAAAGAGAAAAATCTTCAGCAGGATGCAAAGTTAGTGTTGGGAGCAAATTCACTCATCTAATTTGCGTATTCATCAGGCTGCTGTATTTGTATTTGTATACATTTTACAGAAGTTCCTTCTTATTTTTTACGTTATTTAGAAATTGTCATTATATTTGGAAGTTTAAATTTATATATATACATATATAAAGCTCTTTTAAAATTTTGTGTTTTACTTTTATGTTTGTGAATATGTGGCACACTTTGACTTCCATATATAACGTTTCTGCATCTGCCCCTTTTTACGGCTTTTTTTTTTTTTTTTTACATTGTCGCTTCATCTGTCACACTAGCGGTGTTTTTAACCATCATTTCTACCAAGGGCGTAGGAACGAATCTAATATTGGGAGGGGGACACATTTTGGAAATCTAACAAATCTGTTATAGGTTAATAGGTCAATATATATAAATGAATACTGTTGGAGGACTAGTGCAATATTAAAATCATGCTTGTTATAGTATTATTTAGCCATGTTCATTTGTTATCATGCTCGAATCTTCCTCTCATCATCAACCATCTAAAATCTTACTCTTCACTATAGCACCTACCTGCACCTCAGCAGGTCTGGCGCTCTCTGTCTCACCCTCAGCTGTTTCCTGCTGAACTTGATCTGATCTCTTATATAAAAACAGTGGACATGAATAAGGGTTAAAAGCAAAATTTGATGAGAATGTCACACAAACAAGCAACAATCACACTTAACAACTCCATTATTATGTGGAGATTCTACTTTTTAATTTATTTCGTGTCAAATTGTTTTTGTTTGTTTCTTTCCAATACCAGGGTATCTGCAGGTCCTTAAAAAGTCTTAAATTTGCTTTTCCAAATTTAAGGCCTTAAAAATCCTTACAAATGACAAATAATCCTTAGTTTCCAAAGGTCTTAAATTACCAAAGACCCAATAAACAAAATTATTTTATTTCTATAAAATGTTCGTGAATTTCTAGTTAGTTCAGCATTTTTTGTGTATGATTTGGCGTAAGCGGAACCGTACACATTTGGTTGGTTGTGAAAGGGGGCTATTTTTAGATGAGCATGCTAGTGGGAGTTTGCGCCATGGGGAAGTGCAACATTAATAGTAACTGGATGGCTAATCCCACGTTCACGATGTGGTTAGCACCGGTTCCTGGCAATAGCTGGAAATTATAGCTTAAATTTAATTTAAAAAAAAAATAGCTTACATATGGTCAAAGTGGCCTTAAAAAAGGTCTTAAAAAGTCTTACATTTGGCTCCCTTAAACCTGCAGATACCCTGAATACGCCATTTTTTGTTGACTAGTAATGTTTAATGTTAATGCTAACTAGCAAGATGTTTACATTAGTCAGCCAGTCTAATGTCTGACCAAAAACACAATTATCCTCTTGGACTAAATTATTACCAACTCACATTTCCTTTCTTTCTTTTTTTGCCCATGAGAAGAACTCGCTGAGCTGCTGTCGTCTCCTCTCTGACACCTGTGTCTGCGCCCCGCCTCCTGCTTCACGTAGCCAGCCTGTCTGACTCCCTGAGGGCTGTGTCAGTGAAAAGTCTGTGGTGTCTTTCAAAATAAAAGCTCACAAGTCAAATATTTCAAAATACATATTTTTTTCATCTCCACGTTATTGGTGGGGACAAATGCGCATTTGTCCAATACTGGAATGGACACGTCGCACCCGTCTCCCCTGGTTCCTACGCCCTTGATTTCTACATTCGTCACGTCCCAAAGAAGGTTAAACAAACATCAAACCCAACGTTTGGAGCTTGTAAGCGCCATACAACTCTCCTGCAGCACCAGCTGTCTGATGCTGCAGCAGCAGCATCTATCCGGCTGGATGAGTGAATTTCTTCACCAGAGTCAATATTCTGCTTCATAATCGGAGTCAGTCATTACCAGACAAAGTGATCAGTCAAAAAAGACCAGACCTGCCGGCAATTTTAATTTTTATCCCTCTAATATTTGCCCCCTTCATGCTGCGCACATCTCCTCCTCTCCCCTACAGGGAAACTCTTGATGGGAGGCATTTTTCATGCTCTAAAAATTCCAAAAGTTTGCTCATCCTGAAAGTTACACATCTCCACTATCTTCTGAAGTAAAGTAGTAACTTCATGAGGGATCATATTTGTAGAAGTGACTTGTTAAAGTCAGCAATGACGCTTGTTGCGACTTTGGCGCTTCTATAACGAGTAAGTCCCAATATTGACAACAATGTACTGAAACTATTACCAACATGCATAAAAAAAAGATCGGTCCAGCCTACTTACATTGTTGGTCTTTTTAAAAAACGCAGTAATTGTTGCTGGCCTTTTTCGCTTCATCCTGCGTCTTAGCAGCAACCACTTTGGCCCAATCTCAATACTTGCTCTGTGTCCTGCGGTCTTCAGCAAAGTGCACTTGGAGAAAGTGCGCAGTAGGGTTCGAATGTGTAGTACACAAGTGTGCAAATAATTGCAGAATTGAGACAGGGAGCATTGCGTCATTGATCCCAATGCATGCCGATGCTGGTCACTGTGAAACTTTTTTCAAAAACTTTATTAACAACTTTCAAACAAACAACAAAGCAATTATTTTAAATACATTTAACTTCATTGCTGCTTTGTCTAAAACATTCAGAGCATCAACTAATCATCCTAAAATGAACTAATTTCATTAGAAAATATGTTTTCAGCAAA